ATTTGTATTTATGTGTGTGTCTATATGTATATGCAGACCAGAAGAGGTCACTGGATCCAAACAAACAGTTGTGAGATGGGAACTAGGCACCAAATTCATCAAACATAGCATGTGCTCCTAACCACCGGGGCATCTCAGCCTTGGGGTTTATAACCTTTTGAACTAATGTATTGAATGAAGGTGCTCTTTTTTTTTTTTCTTTCTCACAGGGAATGAATGGTTCAAGATAAAGATAGGAGAGAGCTAGCTCCCCACTCCTGTTGAGAAACATGGACATCATTCGAGGAAAGAAATTCCTATAGAAAGCAAAGACTTCACCAAAACACAGTGATGTTTTTACCTTACGCCCACAACATGAGCAGTACGGAAATAGTAATCATGCTGCAATGCAGGGCAGTACCTTTTGAGAGTGGGAAATAACCTGCAACTGAGCTTTCAGATTTTGGTCTGTTGATACTGAAGGGTGACCTTTCAATCCATATGGTACCTGGCATGTCTTTGGCTGGGAACTTCTTTTGTTTCCAACAGTACCCCAGAATAAAAATGTTTTTGTGCAGAACTTTTTTGTTTCCAGAATTCTTGACATAGAATGATGGAGCTGGAAGGGGATTTCAACAGCCCTCAATCAACCTTCTCCTTTTTGCAGAGAGAAATTTGCCGACAGCTGTGCCTTCCTAGGTCTTGTCTTTGGTTCTCCCAACACCATCATTAGGTGTCTTACTCCAAATGCCACTTCTTTAAAAGTTCGTTTGCCTCCGAGTTCTATTCCTCACTGACCACTGGTGGCATGCTCTATTTCTTAAGGGAATTCATTCTTCATTTGTAAAAATTTATGTCCATTACCAGACAAAAAGGAAAATGTGGTGTTAACCTGAACAGCCAGTGTGTTAAGGTGCAGCCTGCCTTCATGGTGTGCATTGTTACCACAGGGGTGATTTCCACAAGAAATTACACCAAAGTATCTAGAATTCTCCAAGTTTTGGAGTGTGTGTGTGTGTGTGTGTGTGTGTGTGTGTGTGTGTGTCCAGGGCTGGGGAGATGACTTAGTTTGTAAAGTACTCGTTGCCTAAGTATGATGACCTCAGTTCTGATCCCTAGTGCCCACAAGAAAGCTGAGGATGGGGGCTGGAAAGATGGATCAGCAGTTAAGAGCACTTGGTATCTCTCAGAGGACCCAGGTTCACTTCCCAGCACCACCTGGTAACTTATAACCATCTATAATTCCATTCCCAGAGGATCCAACGCCCTCTTCTGACCTCTGAGGTACTAAGTAGTCACATGGTGCAATAGAAATATGCAGACAAAACATTCATACACCTAAAATAAAATACTATAAAAAAGTGAAAAAAAGAAAAGCAGGACGTGGCAGTCAGACCTTTAATACCAGCCCTGGGAAAGCAGAAACAGGCAGATTCCTGAAACTGCCCAGCCAGCCTAGCCTAACCGTGTAGCCCCAGGCCAGCAAGAAACCCCATCTCCAGACAACAGCAGGAACAACTCCCAAACAACAAAACAACCTCATGTGAATGCCACCTGAGGATTGATACCAAAACTGACTTTTGACTTCCCTGCCCCCCACACTCATGTGCACACATATCCACATGAACACAAGTGTGTATGCGTGGACAGGAAAGTCCCCAATTGGGAGAACAGAGTGATGGAGCTGTAGAGCGGACAAGCTGTTCTTTCAGAGCATGGCCAATTGACATATAAGTGGATGGAATCAATTATGCTTTTTTCAATTCTCAAAAAAAAAAAAAAAGGAGCATAAGCATGGATTACATACCAAACCGTGTATTTAAGACACTTAAAAAAAAAAAAGTCACGACTCTTATTAAGTATTCTGAATGCTTAGCAAAGTACCATCTCTCCAGGGTCTATTTTGAAGATAAACACAGCAACAGTAGCTATAATACTGTGGAGAAACTGAAGGATCACATATGAAGCATGTGTCATAATAACAAAGCTAAAGATGGGAAATTCTAATGTGGGCAGTAGCCTTTACCAGAAGGGATAATTAGACAATCATATCACCTTAATGGGTTTCCACACCTTTTGTCTTTTTACTCTGTAGGGATAAAGATTTGATTACAGAATTCCTAGAATGAAAGATGATCAAAGGGCATCTCAGAATTTCCACAATTCTGAGAAAGGTGCCTTCAGTAACCCGCTGTGTTGGCAATATCAGGGAGAATTCTCTTTTTAACCACATCCCAAGACCCAGTGATTTAGAGACTAAAAACACCCAGGTTGACTAATACATCCCTTGTACCACATCACACTTTTAAATGGTGGCTTTGGAAATTTTCAGAATGAAAATCTGTCTTATGAATCAGCTAGAAATTACATATCTGTTGACAGTCTGTTTTATTTCATTAAAGACCGAGGAATAGAAGGACTTGTTTATTTTTCTAAACTTTTTAAGATTTAAGATTTATTTTTATATGTTTAAGTATTTGGCCTGTGTATACATCTGTGCACCATGTGTATGCAGCGCCTGTGGAGGCCAGAAGTTGTTGGATCCCCTGGAACATGAATTACAGATGGCTGTAAGCCACCGTGTTGGGTCCTGAGTCCTCTCCAAGAGCAAAGAGTGCTCTAAACCAAGGAGCCATCTCTCCAGCCCCATTAATTGTTTAAACTGGATTCTTCCTGGAGGAAAAAGAAGTCTGAAATGAGATTATCTTTTGCCCTGGGGTAGTTTCTGAGCTGCTTTCTGACCTCAGCATTCCAATCCAATTCATTGTCTTTCCCACTGGGGACCAGTTTGCCTCTTGACATACTTCCTATACCTGCTCTACCTCTGCTCTCAGCCAGGGTCACCTCCGGTCCTGTTTTCAACAGAAAGAAGAAGCTGTGTTTGAGCCTTGCAGCCATGATCATCTGAGTTCGAGGTTGTTGTATGGGTTCATGACACCCACACTGCAAAGTGGTTATAAGCTGTAATAAAATTTATACATCTGCGCATCAAATGTACTCTATGAATGGCATTCCCTAACATTTTCAAGTAGCTTTTTGTTGCCTACCAAATGCAACTAAGACATTTTAAGTTGTGGACTAAGAATGCAGCTCAGTGGTAGAGTACTTGTCTAGCATGTTCAAGGCCTTGGATTTTTTCCCCAACAACACAGAAAAAGAAAAAGATTGAACTTTCTGTCCAGGGCTTTAATTCCTTTGGCCTAGTTCCTATCTTTCCGTTCTTTACCCCATGACCCCGGATTCCTGCCCAGGATAGAGAATACACTGGACCACTTACTGACTCCCCATGCACCTCCATGTCTTGGCCTCTTTGTCATCTTAAATCTTACCTTTAGGAAATCTGCCAGTCCCCAGGGCTCAGTTGACATGCTACCTTCATGAAGGCTTCTCTGACAGCCCCACATTCCTGTAGCTCTACACACATTCCAACCTGTATTACTGTCATTTCTCCATATACATATGCATAAGAAGTATTGGGCAGATATTTTGCAAAATCAAGTAAATGAAGGACTCTGAATGGTAATCCAAAAAGACCATTCTGAACCCCATATAAGTCAACCATGGCTCATAATAACACAAGTTTACTTGAAATGCTTTCCTCAGAGACAGAATATGCTTGATTGTAAAGACTTGGTTATTCTGACTTGGATTGACTTGACAAAGACACTCTTGAGGGAAAGCTGCTGTTGAGGGAGAAATCACATTAAAAGCTTCCTAACATGGCAACCTTAACTCCAAAGTCACAATGCTCCTATACCAGGTCACTGTGTGGCCCAACACAATATGGTCACTTGCCCCCAAATCAGCAACAAAACTCCACATATATGTTTTAATTTTTCTCTTCTCAAAGCATTTTTCTGAAGTCATTTAAGAATACATTTCTAGAAATTAAGAATATGAAATCATAGGCTTTCAAAAATATTTTTTTCAGCCTGGAGTGATGTTTTGCACAGAAGCAGGTGGATCTTTATGAGTCTGAAGCAATCTAGTCTACCTGGCAAGTTCCAGGCAATCCAAGACTAACTACATAGGGAGACACTTCCATGTCTCTCTCTATATATATATTTCCCCAAAACCTTATTTGTCTTGCTGGGTTATCAAGAAAAAAAAAACAGCATTAGAAAATCCACCTTCAATTAAGAAGAGTTATTTGATACCCAAGTTGGTGGTTTTTATTTCTTAAAATCATATCTGAGAAAATCCATGATGATGGAATTTATGATTAACATATGTGTCCATATGTACACATACAGAAGCTACACACAGAGAAGCAGATAAAAGCTATGCTGTGAAAATGAGTATATTTGTTTCTGAATTTGCCATAAAATCACACTCACAAGTATCTCCCCAAGACAGCAAAACCAAAAAATCTCTGGGAATAAAACATTCTTAAGTCCTAAATTGTCTGCTTTATATGAGTTACTCATACTTTAGGCAGAAACTGACTTTGAGAGGTCTCTAGTAGCTTTTTAGAATTATCATACAGTTGTGTTTAGAGATGCAGTGGAAGAATAAAAGAAAATGTATTAGTTGGGCATGGTGGCCCAGGCCTATAATCCCAGCATGTGGGAGACTGAGGAAGCGGATCTCCAGTCTGAAGTCAGTCTAGGCTATATAGTGAGTTCTAGTCTAACCTGGGCTACATGACTACCTGAAAACAAGCAACTACCAAACAGGTGGAGTGCATTTATCAGGAGTTAAAGGTCATCCTTGTTTACACCTAGTGAAGTTTGAGGCCAGCCTGGGCTATATGAGAATCTGTCTCAAAAAAACAAAAACTGAAAAGGACTATGAGTGATAAAATCCTTCATGCCATTCTAAGCAAGGTTTATAGATTAGGGGCCACTGAGGCACAAAATGATGTCCCGATAGGCCACAGACAACAGGTAGAACCCAAGAGTCAACTCCCTTTTCACAGTTTCTACCTTAGTGCTGCTTCTGGTTCTGTACCTGGAAGTGGTAGGCTTCCCAAGATTCCATTAGCCTTCCCAAGATTCCCAGGGCAGCTTCTGGCCTCTTACCTGTCAAACAACTGGGTCCTATGAGGAATGAGAGTAATCCTAGCATCAGCAAGAGTGTCTCCATCTTCCAGGCTCGTGGAATCAGGGTGGAACGGGGAACTGGCTGAAATGCTCTGCGGTAGGTTGGGTCAGCCTCTTTCCTGCATCCTACTGGGAGGATGTCAGAGCAACGGCTGCATCCTCTCAGGCTGTCATCTTGGCTTTTTATATAATGTCAATGACAGTCAGGAGTTGTTCTATTTAAGCATTAGGCTGGTCTGCTCAGCAGGAAGTTGTGCCTACTCTGTTCTGTGATCTCATATAGGAAGTGTTTTTTTTTTGATGACAATATAGTTTGTGGTAATTTTCAACCAGTTTTTTTTTTCAAGTTCAATTGCTGGGAGGTGTGGGCTGTGCTTGGTGAGAAGGATCAGGCTCCACATATGAATCCTTTCTTGTGCTTCACCCATAAAAGGAAAGGGAGATTCCCCTGCCGTTGTAGGAGGGGTGAGCAAGCATTTCTTGGCAGTGGTCTCATTTAGAGTTTTGTAAACTGAGTCCTCTGGGGGGGGGAACTCCCCCCCCAGAGGACTCAACAAAGGCTGTGAAGAATGGAGGAGCAAGGTCATGCAAGGACATGGAAAGGCAGCTTTGGCCAAAGATGGACATTTCATGTAAACTGGCCTGACCCTGGAGCCCTCTTAGGAGTCTAAGTGGGTTCCAGGCTCTGCTCTGTGCTTAGAGGATATGACAAACAAACGTGTTCAGTCCATGTATGAGATTTTTGAATTCTGAAGCATGGGTCATTGCACCATGGGTGTAGGATACACAAAGAAGAAGCCGGACTGGTACCCAGATGAGTTTGCAGTTGCAATGGAAGATTCTTGAGTATGACTTCTCCCAGGAGGCCTCTCAGAACCCTCTGGATTCTCTCATAGCATGACTATGCTGTGTTGTCAGCCACTATTGATATGCCTTTTTACCTCGAGTTTAGTTGCTGTTCATCTTGGTTTATGAATAAGATCTGATGAAATCTTGATCTCCTCCCTTGAGGGAGAAATGCACATCGGCATGTAATCAGGAAATCTATAGACATTTTCATGAGTGTCACAGGCACTTTGAACTCTAAGAGTCTGAGAATCTTAGGTTCAAGGTACTGTGGGCTTCTGGAGACAGGTTATATCCAATGTATTTTTGACATCACCACTGGAATAGTACATAACACATGTGGGTGTTTAACCATGATACACTAAGACACATGTAAACATGAATATATAACAATCAGACTTTTTAAGCCATTTCAGACAAGTTCTTGTGAGCACATTTCAAAGTTTTGTGTCAAACCTGCTGGAAATAGGTAGTTTCCACTAAGTCCATTTCAAATATTTCTTCCCTGGCAAAGACTTTTTAAGGGAGAAACGATAGTCTAGATGACCCCAATAGATTAATTTAAGAAACATTTGGTTAAAGGTCACTATGTTCCTTCAGGACAGGTAGTTGGTCAACTGTATAAAGCTGAGTCTCAGAATATCAGGAAGTTGCTCAACTCTGTTATCAGAAATGTTTGGTATTTCTCAGAAGAAACTGCTTGTCATACCAGACACCAAAAAATATCTGACCCAGATTGCTTCTTCTTAGGAGGTGAGGCTTTGCTCGTTCTAACAGTACAAGGTGGCAGTTGACTGGCGACCATGATGCAGAAGAGCAGGAGAGATTTAGCAAGGGAAAAGTAATAAACAGATATGTTCAGGAAAGACATAAGCGTTGTCCTTGAAAGGTGAATGTAGTCTTCATATATGGATCCTGCAGGCGCAAACTGTGGTCAACAGTTAACCAGAAGTATGGTTGAGCTGGAGGCTAGAAGAAAGTGAAGGCAGAAACGTCAGTTGTATCAATGGTGAAGAGGATTTTGAAAGCTAAAATAAGATGATTAGATCTGAGCCAAACATGTCCAAACAGGGTGGAGCGTGATTCCAGTGTCCTACCTAGTTCTACGTCAAATTCACAGCAGCTAGACAATGGGGACAATGTCTCCGTGAGATGGGGCTGTAGGACATTTTCTTAATGATTGATGGGAGAGGGCCCAGCCTATTGTAGGTGGTGCCATCCTTGGGATGGTGGTCCTGAGTGCTATAAAAAAGTAGACTGAGACGGCCATGATGAGCCAGGAAGCACCCCTCCATGGCCTCTGCATCAGCTCCTGCCTCCAGGTTCCTACCCTGCTTGAGTTCCTGCCCTTTCTGCTTTTGATGATGAATTGTTATATGGAACTGTAGGTGAAATAAACCTTTTCCTCTCCAAGTTGCTTTTGGTCATGGTATTTCATCACAGCAATAGTAACCCTAAGATACCCAACAATGCCAAAAACTAGTATGGTATGCTGGGAAAAGTTAAATTTCAAAAGAAATGGAGGCTGAGAGATGCTAAAATATTCTCTAGGCATGAGATAATAGAGACTTAAATTAGTTTATTATAATCCAAATAACATGGAAGCTCGCTGCCAGAGTATTTGTACATGGGAAAATGCAGTTTTTAATACCTGAATGTGGGAGGTAGAGAACAGAGGTTGTGGGCTTTAGTCGGGGGAAAATTCACTGGCTTGAGTTAACCGCATGAAAGGGCTGAGTCCAGATGCTTGAGGCTGGTGTTAAGTGAGCAGTAGAAAGATGGTTCCGCTTACATCGAGGAGCTAATGCTCTGCTTGGGCCATTCATTCTCTTTCTCACACTGTATGGGATAGTCTTTGAAGATGGTCTTGCTTTGTTTTTGTTTTTGTTTCTCAAGACAGGGTTTCTCTGTGTAGTTTTGGTGCCTGTCCTGGATCTTGCCCTGTAGACCAGGCTGGCCTTGAACTCACAGAGATCCTCCTGCCTCTGCCTCCTGAGTGCTGGGATTAAAGGTGTGCGCCACCACTGCCCGGCCGAAGATGGTCTTTTTACCATCTACACTAACGCTTGATTCCCAGTCTCCCCCACCCCACCTCACTAACTTTTAACATAGCATTTTTGCTGATCAGAGTCAAGACTAGAGAGGAAGATGGAAAGGAACTGAGGGAGAAAGGTGGGGAGGGAAGTCAAATCTCCTCTCCCTTCCCTTCCCTGGCCCTCCTGCTTTTTCATAGCAATCTCAGAAAAGCCTCCAGCCCCAGAGAGCATAGATGGACCCAGAAAAGGAAGGAAAAGGCGTGTGTGTGTGTGTGTGTGTGTGTGTGTGTGTGTGTGTGTGTGTGTGCATGCAGGATGGTATGAAGACTGGAGGCATGAATGGGCTAAGGAAGAACTGCTCGGAGGGTGGCGCCTTCTCCTGGCTGGTGAGGACCGCATTTGGTCATTCTTTTCTATTGCAGATGCTTTCATCCTGCCCACAGACGGTTACTGCTTCCATTAATATTTCTGAGTCAGAGTAGCCCTGGTTGTCCTGAAACTTCTTATGTAGACCAGACTGGCCTTGAACTCACAGAGATCCACTGTCTGCCTCCTGAGCGCTGGGACTAAAGGCGTGCATCACCGTGCCCAGCTTACATTCCCATTACTTTTTTGTAGGTAAGTTTAAAATATTCACATGAGCCGGGTGGTGGTGGCGCACGCCTTTAATCCCAGCACTCGGGAGGCAGAGCCAGGTGGATCTCTGTGAGTTCGAGGCCAGCCTGGGCTACCA